AGGGGCAGGGCGAGGGCCGCCTGGAGGGCGGGGCTATGGGGCAGGGGCGGGGCTAGGAGGCCGTGGGGCGCCCCGGCCCTCACCTTGCATCTTGGCGGCGGCGACGACGTCCCCCGCGGACATGCTGGACACGTTCACCAGGTAGACGGGGCAGTGGGTCTGCGGGCAGCGCGTCAGTGCCGGCCCCGCGCCCTGCCCCACGGCCACCCCCAGCCCCACGGGGCCCCGGCGTCCGGGCGCCACTCACCCCGTTGGCGATGGTGATGACGCGGTGCGTGGCCTCGGCTTCCAGCTGCGGGGAGAGCGGCCGTGAGCGGGGCAAGGACAGGGCATGCACGCAGCACATGCATTGGTGTGCAAATGAGCGTGCAGGCGGCCACAGAGCAGGGTGCAGGTCGCTGCAGGACAGTGCAGGGAGGGGTGTGCAGGGTATGTGGGTGCATGTGTGAAGGATGAACAGGTGGGTGCACAAATGGGTGCGTGGATAGTTGCAGGCAGATGCAAGCATGGGTGTGCACACAGGTCTGCAAATGGGTGGACAGATGCAGATGGGTGCATCGATGGCTATGCACAAGTGCACAATTGAGTGCAAGGATGGGTGCATGGATGGATGTGCAAATGGGTGTACAAAGGGGTGCAAGGACACCTGTGGATGGGTTCCTGGATGGGTGTGCAAGTGGGTGCAGTGGGTACCCATGTAGCTGCAGACAGGAGCACAGGTAGGTGTGCATGCAGGTGCACACACGGTGCAGACAGGCGCATGGATGGGCATGCAAGTCAATGCACAAATAGGTGCCAGGATGGATGGTTGTGCAAGTGGCTGCACAAATGGGTGCAAGGATGGGTGTGGAAATAGGTGTACGGGTAGTTGCAGACAGGTGCAGGGATGGGCGAGCACTTGAGTGCAGAAATGGCTGCAGGGCCGGTTGCAGATGTATGCATGGGTAAATGTGCAGGTGGGTGGAGGACTGGCTGAAGACAGGTGCAGAGGTGGGCATGCAAGTGAATGCAGAAATGGGTGCATGGATGGTTGTGCAGGCAGGTGCAGAATGGGTGCAAGGATGGCTGCAGAAGGGTGCATGGACGGTTGTGCAGAATGGGTGCAAGGATGGCTGCAGAAGGGTGCATGGATGGTTGTGCATTTGGGCGCAAGGATGGCTGCAGAAGGCTGCACATGCAGGCGCTGCACGGACGCCGTGCAGCGGTGCCGCGGTTGCCACCCACCTCCTCGGGCCGGCTGATCTCGATGCCCTCGGGCCCCGTGATGCCCAGCTCCAGCGCCTCCTTGGCTCCCTGCGGGAAGGGGGGTGAGCGGCGCCGGGGCGGCCGCGGCGCAGCCCCCCGCGCGCCCCGCTCACCTCGGCCACCAGCTCGCCGTTCTCGGCGTGCACGCGCGCGATGGCGCCCACGTCGCGGCAGGCG